AATATATATATATATATATATATATATATATATATATATATATATATACAAGCCCTTGTTAATGTTCTATCGATCAACAAGGACAAGAGAAAAGGGTACGAAAGCCGTCATTTCTATAAATATGCAAAACGGTGTTGATGAATTTATTGCGAACATGAGAAATGGGCAAAGATATACAAAAATTTTCTAAGAAGAGCGGATAAAAATGTAATATAGCATTTCAGTAAAAGATACACTACGTGATAAGTCTCTTGTTTCCCAGCGTTGCCCTGAAATAATGGCTTCAGTTTCTTAATTCACACCACTGCTGTATTTGAATGACGGGACGCAACGAAAGCTCAGACCCAATTCACGCCAATCGATGATGATAAATGCACTAAGGGGGATGAAAAGCATCCATAGTGGAACTTTGCTTGGCTTATCTATCTTTTGTAAGCGCAAGGAAAGAAAAATAACACATTAATTTCTATATATAGGTTGGGTGCAAAAGAACGTCTACCGGTAACATTGCTTGTTGGGTTCGGCCCACAGAATAAGCTTGAGCAAAATTGAATGGAATTCGGGAAGCAAAGCTTGGAGGACAAATGCTGAGCTAACCAATAATAACAAAAGGTTATACAAGTACTCAGCAAGACCTAGAGTTATCTTCTATAATTATTATTCAACACTTCTTCAACCTGCGAAAGAACACCGGTGTTGTCAACTACAAATGGCTCCGTTGTTCCATCAGCATGTACGTAATATTTCTGCCCAACATGATGTCGCCGATCACTCTGCCAACGGATGTCTAACATTGCATTGCACACAACCTGCGAACGCAAGTTTGATAAACGGAAAAGCGTAAACGTCCCGCATGGGTCTGGGAAAACTTTTCGAATGTACACAAACTTAGTGTCGCGTGGAACCGATTCTAAGTTGTGTTGGTGAATATAAGCCGAGTGAACTGCTGCAGGAGTGAGCCCCTCTGCCTTTAGGCGAGTGATCTCATCAATAAAGCCAGTAACGCAGCGTAGGACGCTTCCCAAATATCTCTGGGCCTCCGAAAGAGACAAGATGCGCACCTCCTCGTCGTAGAAAGTTTGCACATGTGGGTGTGGTTGATTTCTATTCGTACTCTCATTGTTCATGCACGGGACGTAAAGCACTAACTTGGAGAAGATGTCTAACACGGCTGTTCCGACACCGGCCTCAGTGGGAAACATGGCTCCATACCGACCTGGCTGCAAACAATAGTACATCACGACGGTATCCTCTTGTGTAAAGGAATAAAAGCGCACCCAACCACCTCTCAAAAAGTCATCCACAAATTGCTGACGATTTTTTTCCTTTTGCGGGAGCGCCACGTATGCCATATTGGCGTTCAAAGATGCTGATAGTGGTTTATCTAGCTTCGGCGTGGGTGACAAGTGCGTTGCGGTTGCACTCATCCCTCGAGGTAGAGGAGGGGCGTGCATCGGGTTCAGGAGCGAGTTGCGAGATTGCTTTATGGTACTGAAGTTTTGGCGTGGAACGGCGGCCTCGGCATCAAATTGACGTGTTGGTAGAGTCTGCGGCGCGGCGGGGCCTCGACGGGGTAGCGGTGGACCCCCGCTCGCGGTGTGCCCGCTAACGGATCCGGCGCGCCGCTGTGGAACCTGCGGCAGGGATGAGTAATGTTGAGCCGTCGAGGCATCTGGCGGTACTGGAAACACTGCGTTTGAGTTGCCTACCCGTGCCTGAACAGGCCTGGTGTGATAGGGGGGCACTTTAACGTGCTCTGGCTCCTGTTCTAGCCCGGGTTTGCTAATAGCGCGCGCATTGGACATGGATACGCTACGTGGAACCTTAGGTTGTCTAAAGACTTCTCTGGGTTTGTCAGCTGTGTCGACACGAATGGTAACGACCCCAGCGCCACTTATGGGAGCCATGCTGATACTTTCAGCCCGTCGTCGCGCCGCTATTCCAACGATCATACCATTTTCATTATACTTAGGTGCTGAGGCCTCATCCAAGTTAGATTCCACGTGCCGGCGCTTCGCCAGCAAGTAACCGTCCTCGTCGGCACCCACAGAGAGTTTATGCGGCCCAGCTAAACTATCCTGGCGCCTGGTCTTCATTGCATGGGTACGATTTGGAGTCGAAACATGCGACCCTGATTCCAGCGAAGCGTCGCTGAGGCTTTCAGAACTGTTGTGATTTTTTTTGGACGAACGCAACCCAGCCGAAGACGGGAGCGCACTAATTCGTGGAAACTCTGCATCACGGTGCTTCATAACCAATGCACCCATGTCCTCAGGACTTGGGACCTCTCTATTACCGATACTAATCCGGCCCCCTGTCGAGGTCCGGGGATACGTTTTCCGTCCTGAGCCACGACTCCTTCGCGTATCTGGCTCATCGTCGTCAACAGGAAGCTGCACCTCCAGTAAGCTAGGGCGTTTTACCTCATCCCAGACAAGTGTGTTCATTCGTGAAGATCGGCGCGGAGAAGGACTCATGCTAGGGCCGCGGCACCTCAATGAATGAGAATGGAGCTTAGCCGACGATGTAAATTTTTTCCCGCATGTCGGACAAACAAAATTGACATCTTTGAATTTTCCAGAGTACGCGCAGTTCATACAAACATCGTAATCGCATTTGTAGCATCGGAATGCGGGTCTTTCGCCGGTGATTTTCTCAATGCCGCTGTCACACACATTGCAGTCGAAGCCATTGTATCTATGGGGCATTGAAGTAAGTTTTGTCATAACATGTTTATTCAAGCATCGAAATTCCTTCTCAATGGTTTCGTTTAGCTCTCTAGGAAGCGATACAACTGAGCGGAGACTCCATCGGGTTGCTGTGCTGCGGCCAGGATAAATCACAGCGTACTGGTCGGGGCTTGCCCTAATAATCTCCCCTTGCTCAGTATGCGCGCTATCAGACAAGTCGACGCTGTTTCGCACCGAACGCGGACTCCGAAATCCGACAGATCCATGAATGGACGTGTCAGAGACTAACGAAACACTGCCAGCACGCCTACCAACCTGCCGCCGTCCCCACCACTGATTTCGAAGTTTAGCACGGGATGTCTCTTCATTCCTTAAGATGAGGAACCGTTCATCGATTTCATTCCTTGACAAGGTTAGTATGCCGAGTAATATGTTAAATGTTTCATAATACTCAAGTTGCAACTGTGAGCGATGGCGTTTCTCCACAACCTCAATCCTTTCTAACCCCTTATTAATCACAGCAGCGAATGTTTTCTTTGGTCCGGTTAAAACATTTTCAGCAAGGTGACCAAGCGGATTCATGGGCTGTTCAAGCATGTCAAGCTTTTGTAGCAGAGAAAGTGGGCATGTTACGGGACTTCTATTCCAAACAGGGTCCTCACACACCTCCTGAAGAGTGGCGCGCCGACCTCGATCGCGCATAAGAACTCGCTCTACCAGCTCACATAATTGAGGGTCCCCCTTCCAACCTTTTGGCCAGCTCCACGCCGCGTCCGCCACCGCATTGAACAGAGCAAGTGATTTTTGTGACTTATCCAATAGTTGCACGCCCCTTTCCTCCATTGTGGCTAAATATGGATTCATCCGCGTAAGAAGAACATACAGAACCACACCAATGCTCCACGTATCGACTTCGTCGCCATAGCTCAAGGACTGCAAGTTTCCATTTTTTGTCATCCGTTTATAGACCTCCTCAGCCATTTCTGGAGCCATGTACATGGCCGTGCCAGCAACTGTTTTACGAGGCTGAGCCTCGGAAATTCTGCTCGAGAGACCAAAGTCTGTAATTTTCAAGTTACCATCAAAATCAAAGAGAAGGTTTTGTGGTTTTAGATCTCTATGGATACACATTTTCGAATGTATGTATGCAACTGTAGTCACCAAAGAATTACCAATCCATAGTATTTCTTGAATGTCAAGACTACTGAAAGCAATAATATCGTGCACCGATCGGCTTGCGCATCGTTCCATCAGGACATACGCTCTGTCTCTATCGCGACCTGCTGCATAAAACTTAACAATATTTGGATGCCTTGAAAAGTGGCTCATTAAGGTTACCTCCTCATTAAGTCGTTTCCAATCATTCTCGGACATTTTTTTCGAAGAAACCTTAAGCGCATACGATTCCCCACCATTTGAACGAGCCAGGAAAACCTTTCCGAAACCACCTTTACCAAGTAGCACACTTGTTACAACTGTCAAGTTATCTTCTTCAAAAGTAACGGACATATGTTCTAAAGGATGCTCATCATCTTCATATTTGGCAATGCATTGCTGAATATGCAGAGTTTTTACCGTGCTCCCGAGACGTGATATAGAAGGGCTTGATGACAAATCACGTTGCATACGCATCGGGGTTGGAAGTGTGCCAGGTGCATTTCTCTCGTGTTCTATTGTAGTCATGATACTTTTGCCTACCCTTGGGGTCGTGTAAAACTCCCTTTTTCATTTGTTAAAGAGTTGAAAGATGAGAGATGAAAAGAAAAAGTTACACTGCTAAGCTTTAATAAATTATCTAAATTAATATATCCATATATAACTCAATAGCGAAGAAAAAAATGATAGTAATGATAATAGCAATCATATCTATATATATAGATATAGATATATATAGATAGATAGATAGATATAGAGATGTATATATATATGTATATATATATATTGACTAGTCCAGACAGTTCGCAGACTGAATAGTCATTAAGGGGGAAAAAAACAAACAAGACAATTATTTCCCTATCTCCCGTTAAAGGTTCTCATTTGCTAGTGAATCTTATTTTTATAATAATTGGGTAACTATATAATATGGTTAGGGTGAATAAATTAACCCACAGTAGGCAAACAAAATGTTAAACGCTAACTACGTTATCTTGGGTTCTGCATCTGGAGTGGATATATCACCCTGCTGGTCTTTTGACACATGCGATGTATTCTCAGTTTTGGGCGTCAAAACGTTTGTTTTCACAGCCGTGTGAATGCAAGCTATTCCTCCAGAGAGATTTTCGTAACGGACAAAACTAAAACCTGCATCTTGAATCATTTTAGCAAAAGTTTCTTGATCCGGAAAGGCACGTATACTTTCTGCTAGATACCGATAGCTCTCTTCATCGGCAAGCATCCGTCCAGCCTGAGGCAAAAATCCACTTAACCAAAAGGAATACGGAATTTTTAACGGTGTAAATGTGACGTGGCTAAATTCAAGAATATTTAACACACCCCCGACTTTTAGGATTCGAAAGGCTTCTCGAAGAGCTTTGGGGCGATCACTGAAGTTCCGGATCCCAAAGGAAATTGTGCAATGGTCGTAAACTTCATCCTCGAAGGGTAACTCCTCCCCGCTCGCACAAACCCATTCAATATCAAAATACCCCCCCCGAGCAGCTCGACTTTGACCTTCATCAAGCATTTTTTGATTAATATCGCAAACCACTACTTTTGTGCCTTCCAATATTTTGGGGGTTAATCCAGACAAATGCTCCTGCCGACGTATAGCATCTGTAATTCTGAAGGCAATATCACCAGTCCCCCCAGCGATATCCAAAAATTTAGCACCCGAAACTGGTCGAACAGAATTTTCAACAAAATGATTTTTCCATGAACGGTGAATTCCCAGTGACAAAACATCGTTCATGAAGTCATACTTGGAGGAAACTGTGTCGAAAACCTTTTTGACGTATGCATCGCCAAGACCCATATTCAAACGCCGAGAAGAAAACTTTAGCATTTTCTTTTCGCCTTATTATGTTTTAATTGAAGAGGCTTAGAATAGACGAGTAAAAATAATCTTTCATATTTGGAATTCTAAAATTATCAATCCTTCCATATTCATAGTATTCACATAACCTTAAATATGAAATGTTGTGCAAGAAAAAAAATATCTCGTGGTGTGTGTCTAATGTGTATGACCTTTTTGAATCAAACATAAACCACCAACAGAACCTCCAGCCAGCAAAAATAATTGGTCACCGATAACAGAGCACGCTGAAATTTGACCAGAGGTATCTGAGAACGAAAAAGTGGCCCTCAAGGCTTTGCTGCCCACAATATTATGAAGGTTGATACATGAGTTGTCCACAAAATGTGAATTGACATTCTGGCTTATGTCGGCTAGATATGATACGGGTTTTTCTAAAGATGCAGGTTCTATCTCCTCGTTAAAGAATCCTCGAATGCCAAACTCTATATCAAGGGCCAAAATACAATTTTTAGAGATATGAGGATAAAATACAAGGCCCTCATCGGAAAGTGCAAGCTTTGGCGTTGCAATGTTGTTGGAAAAATCGTCACGCATAGAATCTTCCGTTTTAAGAGAAAATATCTCCGAAAAGGAGTCACTGCCTACAGCTAGCCCAACGATATTTCCTCTGTAATTGTTAAACCAAATTTGTGGACAACCCATTCTCTTTCCATTTCCAGTGTAAGTCCACAATCTCCCTATTTCTGATCCACTACGGTACGACGCAATAAAATCTTTGGAATATCTAACATCCCACAGAGAAACTCTACCGTCTTTTGCTCCTGTAATTAAAAGGCTGGAATTCGACGAGGAAAATACTATGGATGAAAGAGAAGAAGGTCTTTGTAGAACCGACCGCATATCCAAAAGACCTGGGGCCTTCGAGCGAGTTCCTATGCGTGGTGTGCATTGAATTACTACCTTTTGCCGTAAATCAATCCATGCAGATTCCCCGTTCGACAACCCTGAAGCTGACAAATTGTCTGACAACGAAACAATGTCAGTTGCAAATGGTGTATCTTCTTCAAGGAACAAATTATTAACTTCTTGACTCCTTTGGATTTCATTGAGGCGAAAGCTACAAACCGGATCACATGTGGTTTCATCAACATCCTCTAAATCAAATATTTCGAGTATCGAAGTTCCAGAGTATCCACATGCAAGAAAAAGTGAGTTTCCCATAAACTGTGAGCAGGAAAAAATAAACGGACGACGTTGATGTGTTTGTCTATGCTCGCATATGATATTGCTGTCCAAGCGCAGAATCAGGCTCTTCGATATTGATGACTCAGAGTCGTCATGAACAAAACTAGATGAAAGAAGATTAAAGCCTGAGCGCTGTAGTGCAAAGAAAACTTGTCCACTGCTATCCGTCGAAATGTCAATGATTGAATTTTTGTAAACATTCTGGGCAAATGCAGGAGATATAATACTATTTTCTCCTGCATTTTCATCTTCGTTACGATGAAAGTGGCTCCATTGCAAGTTCGTTTGAGTGTTCTGATGCTGCAAAAAGCGGATTCGTTCTTCCCGTTCCCTCCAAAGACAACCCACCTTCTTGTTGTACTCGGTCCCACATAATAAAAAAAAATGCGGTGGAACTACTTGCTCTGTCGGAGAGCTTTCCATTTTGCCTGAGAACCCCAATGACGATTCAACCAATTCGTCGTCGTCTCGAGAGCGTTTTCTTTCTCGGCCAACAGCATTTTTTTTAGCTGATTCAAACGAATCGAATAAGGTTTGTTGACGCATTTAGCATCACTATTCCTGTTTCCGCTATCGTTTTTTTCTAATAATGAATAATCTACAATCAAGAAAAAAGAAAAAGTGACCCAGTGTTCAGTAGCATGCTTCCAGACTCCTACCTTTCAAAAAAAAAAATCATTAACCACACACTATGAGCTCATTTATTTTTCTGCACCATTTAAAGTATAGCCCGGGGTTCAAAATTCTTTTTTACCTCCCGGGCGGGCCCGGGTGTGGGTGGGGGGGAGAAAACCCCCCTATCCGAGGCGCTGGGCCTGGCCCCCGCCGCCCCCAGAGCAACGACGATATGGATTTGTGGAAAAAGACGCCGAGCACAAATAGGAAAAAATTAGAATTGAACATGTATCGGTTTGGGAGCGCCTGAAATGCCGCGCTCTTTTTAAAGCCCTGATATGGCCTGCCAAGCCACGAAGAACCCCATTCCCAAAAGGCCATTGGGCTGCCTTCAAATTTTTGCCATCGAAAAAGGGCAGGCGACCCAAGATTGCGCAAATATATGGTTTAGATGGGTTTTGGATAAGAATTGCAAATCTGACAATTTCTTCCGGGTTTCCTAGTCGAGAGAAAATTTATTGAGGCCAACAGGACCCCCCCCCGCGCACAAAAAATGTATTAAAATGTGACGAAAATTTTTTTACGAATTCTTTTATTTCTCAACTCAAATTTAGCGTATTCCAATTCAATTATTGCTTACTTACTCAAAATTGGCCCAGCCCAGTCCCACGCATCCTTTGGTCGCCATCGCTGGAACCCATGGCTCGCCGCGCGTCGCCCATACCGCAAAAGCAAATACGCGGGCAATCCGTCACCGCCGCTACCTTTTAACAACATGCAGTTTAGTTTTTATATCGGTAACCTTTGACATGGCTGGCGGGACGGGCGGCAATTGTGAACAAAACACCCCATAAAACTTCGAAGATTTTAAAAGCACCGCCGGCGTCGAAAAAGGCGAGGGGTGCACGCCCCCCGCCCGGGACGGGCATGGGCCGAAGCCCGCGACGAATTCGCCAACAGGGGAAGCGAAAACACACACAAAAATATCTTTGAGTGGTGGGCAACCAGCCCACAAACAGTGCACAAATTAAAAGTTGAAACGCAAGCATGGCCGTGGGGCGGCGGTGGAGGCCCCGACAAAAGTAAAGGGCCGGGCCAACATTAGCTAAAGAGAAAACCATTAATAAATCGTTTATAGTAATCATTTCGTTACTTACAATGTTGCAAAAGTAAAAGTTTCTACCATGATTTGGTTTGTGGGCGGGGCGAATCCTTTTTGCGGACCGCCGGGAATGGAAAAGCAAGCGGCATCGTGTAAATCGCACAGCGGGTGGCCGATTGTTCGTAAAATTAACTGGTGTATTGCTTATGATGTGGGCAGAATTGGAAAAATATAAAATTCGCACCTGGGTGTGGTAATAATCCGGGATATCCATATGGAATCGATTTTTAAACCGGTTCGGGCGCCGGGGCGCGCCGGGGACCCGGCCCCCCCCCGGCCCCAAACCAAATATCCAACATAGGGGGTAATTTCCCGCAGCAAGGTTCGTATTTTTTTTGAACCCTTTCCTACAGATTTATGATGTCAAAGTTTTAAAAACACAAAAGTCTGTTTTAGCGAGAAAAAGTCCGACGCACCACTGTGGTTTTGGAAAACACCATCGCCCCGCCGGGGCCGCGGGTAAATTAACCCCGGGCCCCCAATCAAAATGCCGGAGAAATACTTTTTCAGCTGCATTTAGGGAAATACGATGGGTGCAGCGTGGGGGAAATGAAGAGCAACCCAGCTAGTTTGATCAAAATAAACGTGAATTATTATTATAAGCTGGGATATTAGCGCCTATCCAGCTTATCACCCAAAGTTTTAGTTTGCTAAAAATACACAAGGGCGCTGATAAAATTTACCCATGATAGAAATAGTTGGGGATTTTATTGGATATTTTTAAAATAGATCTATATACACAACACCTCTGTGCCAAAGCAGACTAGTAAGGATATTTGACAATCATAGAGGGTTGTGGGGGCTTGAAGGCATTGCTTTTCCATGGGGCTCCTGTTGGATAGCCCAACGCCTTTGTTGGGAATAGGTTGCCTAGGGGTATGTTGTGGGATCCATGCAGCGTCTGGAACCCACCGGGCTATTTTCCTCGGGGCGGTGTGGGGTGTGAAGATGCTTGGTGGTAGCCAGCGCGGGGCAGCTGAAAATTGGTGACGGGGAAAGGTGATTGTCATGCACCGAGCGCCCACATTATGTTTCATTATTGTTTAACATAACGCAGAGGGTGTTTTATATTGTGTTGGTGGGCGCCACCCCCTGCTGAGTTTAGATTGGCGTACCGGCAAATAGTTTGATCGGGGGGAATAAACACATTTTGTATGAAACGTGACTCTGGGCCATTTTTTATGCAGATGCAATCGCCCACGCTGCGCCTGGCGGTGCTGCAGCCTTTTTTCCGAAACGTCAGCGTTCATTGCGGATATACCCCGGCTAGGGGTTGTCATGGTGCTTCGGGATGCCTAATTTTAGTAAAAAAAATCGTTTGCTGTTTTTCCTTAGCCTGGCCACGCCCGGGCGTGTGCATGTGGGGGGAGGGGAGGCGCCGCAGTTTTGAAACTTCAAAAAACGTTTAGCCCGAATAAGCAAATACAAATTTGTAGAAAGCGCGAGTTTTGGGCTAAATGTGTCGTAATTTTCAAATATCAGTGGGTCTTTTGCAAGAGGACCTCTTGAAACAGACAAATTGAATACTACAAACCATCTGAAAAAGCATGTCCTGGCTAAACGCGGCCCCGTGGGTGACCCCTTGCCCCTCATGTCACCCAAAGTTCCGCCGCCGTCAACCTACACTCGCTACGCATTTAGTCCGGCCAAAACACTGCTCATAATCTACGTGTTTCCACTATTGTTCCGGATTTAGACCTGTGAAACACCAAACCCCATGCTGCCCAGCATCTTCGCTCAGCCGGGTGCTTGGCCCCTGGCTTCCCCGGCCTTGCCAGGGGAGGAAGGGTGGGGTCTAATTTGGCCTTCCAACCCAGCCCCTGGGTTTTACTCCACACGCATGCAAATGTTTCTTGATGAGAGGCTAAAATGGAAACTAGAAGAAAAGAAAGATCGTGGAAAGCATATTTCAATCCCCAAGAGTGGCCTCCCAATTTGGGCGTGCGTCAAAAAGAAGAGAGAAAAAAGCCAAATACATATGTTGTGAGTAAAATATACTTTTTAGAATATAATTATGAAATAAGATATGTGAAGAAGCATGCCTAGTCCTGCGCGTGTCCTGAATTTCATAATTGTTATATAATTTATGACTTTCCAAGACTAGGCAACAAAGTATGAAGCTTGCAAAAGGTCTTATCTTTCAGGATGGCGCATTTTTTATTACGAATAGCAATAAATTAGACGGTGCAAGTAAATTGATACTGTGACAACTGTAAACGAATGCGCACACACATTTATAAATATTGTAAAGAAGTAGAAACACATATCACTGCTCGGCTTAATGATTGGAAAGATCTTGTGATTCATCCGAAGATGTGAAAAAACACCCATCTCATCCCGAACACCAACGCATTACCACCGGTTATCTATCTCCAGGGTCGCCCCAATAATAGAGGTAAGCTTGAAAAGAATGGCAAGACCAGCGCCAAAACACATCATAATTTTGGTCCATCTGCATTATTCTTTTGGGGCTTGCTACGTCATCACAAATCGTTTTATTGAACCGTTTTCTCGGCACCTCGTGAAGTTTTATTATGCATTTTTAGATTTTATGTCTTCCTGTGGGGCGTGCACTGTCTGAGTCTTGTCTTCGCGTGAAATAAAACCCTGCTCCACGGAATCTTCCAAGAGTTCAGATGTAAACGTCTGCGTCGGCGTCATCATCTTAAGCGCTTCTGTTGCCTTGGGACGGTTCTTTGCTCGGGACACCTCATGCCCAGCCAAGATTTTGTACAGTCGATCTTCGCTAAGATCGCCAATATACGTGATATCACGACTGAATATATGGCTACCGCACCAATTAACGAAGACATATAGTTTACTTCGCAGGGATCCTATCATGGTGAGGTAGGCACTCTTCCAAAACCATAGAGCCTTGAGACCCCGAAAACCAAGTTTACGCTTCGACCCGAGGGAAACAATAGCGCTTGCATCACCCAAAGATACCATGCTGCCCAAGCTTTGATATTCAAAGGACTTCGTCATTGTGCCCTTGGTGATCAGATGGTTTAATTGCTCACCAAGGTAAGTTCCTTGTCGCCTAGCGACGGCCGCCAGCGTAGGCAACGGCTCCTTCGCGTTTGCTGCGCTGTCACCCGCGGCAAAAACATTTGGAATCGGTTTCCCATCACGAAGTATGCGGAGGTTCTCATCGACCGAGATGCGCTCCTGCGACGTCTTGTCGCACTCGAGGATCTGAGTCAGCATGGTGGGCCCCACGCCGGTGCTCCAGACCACTAGCCCAGCCTCCAGGACCTCCCCGCCGGTGGTAACAACCCCCCTTTCCGTGACAGACACCACGGCGGTGTTGACGACGTTGACCCCTAACTCCGCCAACCGCCGTTGCCCATAGTTCCGGAGAGCTTGGTCAAACGTCCCCAGAACTTCATTCGCCTCAAGCACCGTCACTTTGCAGTGTTGCTGTAAGGAGCGACTCACACGGGCGATGTCCTTACGGAAAAATTCTGCAAGGCTCGTGGCGAACTCGATCCCCGTCGGCCCACCACCTACCACTACAGTGTGAAGGAGACGCTTGGTTTCCTCGACCGGGACTGTCGGAAGGTCCGCGGCCATGATGTTTTGCACGAGGCGCTTGCGAATGCCTCGTGCCTCGTTGACCTCACGAAGGAAAAAAGCCTTGTCAGTTACACCAGGGATGTTGAATGTGTTGGGGCGCGAGCCGTGGGCGAGGAGCAAATAGTCGTATTGGACGTTGAAAACATGCACAGGAAGTTTCTCTGTGGCGCCAGGCACACCTACACCAACACACTTAACAACTTTTTCGTCGAAATCCACGTCGTACACCATACAACGGTAAAAGCGGTGTGGCAGATTCACCAAAGCTGGCTGAATGTTCATGATGGGTTCGCAGACTGAGCGAAATTCCAGTGTTCCAGTGGTTGTATGCGCCAAAAGTGGAGTGAACACCATGTGGTTGCGAGTTGAAAGGACTTGAATATTGCATATGGATGGTTTTAGTCGATGAGCTGCATAGCAGCCTGCCCATCCTGTCCCTACGATGACCACATTGGGCCTTAGCGAAAGTGTGGTTCGAAGAAGCATGTATCGGATACGAAGTTATGATGGAGTGTAGATATATATATATATCAGTCAGTCTATTGATTTGTTTTGATAATACAGGAATACGTGTACGTGTTCACCATGGTGTGGAGGAGCAAGAAAGGGGGAACAAAAGTTTGATCACCAAGAGGTAGAGTGACTTAGAGATATGTTTTCAAGTATAAAAGAGAATCGAACATCGAGAGCAGAGCTACCCCAGTGGTAGATCCTCCCATGCTAGTTAAGAACGCTATGACTTAAGGCAGTTTAAGGCGAACTGTTTGTATAAGGGGGCAGGGTGGGGGAGGAAACCAGAGCATCAGCCATTACGATGCATACGTTTTAAATCGTTCTTATTTTATTTTTGTGTTTCGAGACTTCTACTAAAATGGGCCAATAGCTTATTTCCCATTTTAGGTATTCATTAGCATCCGTTTTCGACCAATATTGGATTTAAACTGCTTTGACTTATTTCAACGTTAAACACTCAACGGATCTTATGAAAGGGCAAAGGCACCCACCCCCACCTACTGCGTCAGGAGTGTCACCAATGATTTTAATGCGATTAGAAGCGATACATACACTTGCAGTGAAAAGAGGGGTTTTCTTCATCTTATCTTATTTTTATCCCTCAATCACCACTTCTGCATCCTAATATGGTGTGATATTACTTTAGTTGGTTTTGTTGACGTCCCGATAGTTTGGCACAGTGGAAAAAAATAGCAACCACCACCACAATATCGATACTACCGCCGCTCATAAGAACTAACTCAATTCAACAAGCGGTGATTGCAATGTCAAAAGCCAACCAAGCGATGCAGCAAAAGTACCCATACCTAATCTCTTCATCTTCTCTATAATGTTTGTTACAATTATTAAGCAAACTATTCGACACTCAAGTTAGATCCTCAATATTTGTTTCGTTTCCTCCCCCTAAAAAAAAGAAAAGACAGAACCCCACCGATAATTCATTTAGAGCATCACATCAGGGTCTGCTTCTTGGACCTGAGGCCATTGATCGTCCTCCACTAACGATTCTAGCGGCTGGAGGTCCTGATACAAGGGTTGCTTAGTGATCAACTCAACCTTCTCGAGACTTTCCTCTGAGTGTAGCCGGAGAATGGCGTTTGCTAGCAGTCGAGCTATCGAAATCACCTTTATCTTTGCACACTTTGCGGTGGATTGCTCTTGTGGGATTGTGTTAGTGACCACCACCTCCGCCAAGGCGTCGCATTTGGTGATCCTTTCACAGGCCGGGTCCGTGAAGATCCCGTGCGTGGCGTAGGCCAGGACCTGCTTGGCACCGTGCTCCTTCAGCAACTCCGCCGCCTTGCACAGCGTCCCGGCGGTATCAATCATGTCATCCACGATAACGCACACACAGCCGTCAACCTCGCCCACGAGCTGCATAGATTCCACTTGATTCGCAACCACGCGGCGCTTGAGAATCGTGGCGATTCTGCTCGCCCTGATGCGATCTCCCATCCGCCGAGCGCGCGTCACCGCCCCGGCATCCGGTGCGACCACGACCAATTTGTCGGTATCCAGGCCTTTTTGCTTGATGTAGTCAGAGAACTCGGTGGTCGCGTTCAAATCCGCTACGGGGCAGCCGTGGAAGAAACCTTGAATTTGTCCGCAATGAAGATCCATGGTCAGAACGCCGTTAACGCCCAGCTCCGTGACCATCTTCGCCACTGCAGAGGCGCTAATGGGGACACGCCCGACGTGCTTGCGGTCCTGTCGGGCATAGCCGTAGTGTGGAACGACGGCGATCACACGACGCGCCGAGGAAAGCTTCAGCGTGTGAATCATAAGCAGGAGCTCCATTACGGCCTGGTTTACATTGCAGGTACCATTGGAGCACGTTGGCTGCACCACGAAGACGTCATCACCGCGGATGGACTCGAGCACCTTTAGACAGGTTTCGCCGTTTGCGAAGGTGCCCACATGGCTAGCCGTCACGGGAATTCTAAGACACGCGCAGATTTCCTCGGCTAATTGGGGGTTTGAATTTCCATGCACCACGCGCAGGGCGCCGTTCCGTTTAGAAAGATTCATCAAGAAAAAAAGTAGACGACAAAACCGATTAGAATGTGAAGTTTTTGGTGTTATTGTTTCTTTATTCTCTGATTCTTTAGATTCAGGATTGCCAAAATTCCCTTTATTGTATTATTAGAACACAAATGAAATTAACACTAGATGATCGACAAAAGGAAAAACACATATGCACGAAGATACGAAAGGGCTCCTTTCCTTCTCGTTTTGTCTCTATACTCATAATAATAATAAAATAACGGAACCATTGAATTTTTTTGGCTGTAATTAACCCTCGAAGTCAAGCACGTTTATCATGCACTCCCCATTGCCCCCCGCTTATTGGATTAGAGAATAAACGAGTAAATTCTTCTGGTGTTTCCTATTGTTACGCTCAACTCTTTCCCTCTCCCTTGATCACCCCAATGAGGGGCTTTCATGTTAACAGAGATGAAGACGTGTGCAATAGCAAGGAGTGATTGCAACAACACGGTAGCAAGAAAATTAACGCCGTTCATCGTTTCCTTCACAAAATAAACCAATCCAATTCAAACTTCGCAATTAACCTTGAGTTCACTGGCTTCCTCCTCATACGGGTTCGAGGTAATCCTTTCTAAAAACGCCACGCCCCTTGATCGGCCTACGCCGCTGACGCGCCGCCTCCTTCATCTTTTTCGGATAAACTGCAGCTGCAATACTACCTGAAGGACGTGATACATCGTGTTTTGTACGATGAAGTGCTCGAGTAATTAGGAAGGGGATGACACCACCACCATACAGCCATACCTGATGGCATAACGTCGACCGCTTTATTTGGAAGTTATTCCAAATCTTCCAGAAATTTATCGAGCTCCGCGTCGATCGCCGGCATAGCCGCACCCTCTGATTTGCCGGCTCCCTTGCCCTCTGCAGCGTACAGCGCGCTCGATGATACCCATGTGCGAGGATCGTAGCGACCCTCCACCTGAGCCATTCGGCGTCGGTTCTTTTCACGGAATTCCACCGCCTCGGGGTCATCGGATAGGATCCACTCAATCCGCTCCGCCGCGTTCTGCAGATCCACCTCGCTTGAAGCAGTGATCCGGACGTGCGGATCCTCTAACGACAAGGCAGCCGCGTTCGGACTGGTATCTTTCAGTGGATTTGTGATGCCCCGCCCGGCCAGGACGATCTTACACTTGGTCTCTTTCTCCAGTTGCTGGTGAACGCTGCCCCGGGCGCCCAGAATAGCCCCCCACTCACCTGTCTCCATTTGGGCATCCGTAAAGTAAATTTTGCGTGAGATTTCCTTCGCTTTAGCGGCGTTGTCTAGTTCGACATAGGTACGGTTGAGACGCCCAATCTCGTCGAGGATCTTGAGCCTCTTTTCCGCCAACATGTTTTGTGAGGTGTTGCTACGATTGCCATTCGCATCGTACTCGGGCACGATGGGAATATTGCGGAAGTACTGATCGCACGTATCCGTTTGCAGCATGCGCTGCGTATCATGGGCAACTGCTCTCAGCAAAAAGGCTCGAAGAAATTGGCCGTTCTCCTGAACCAAGGCTTCAGATGGGATATAGCTTGGAATCTCCATGTTGGCGTAGCGTGCTTCGCTCCAACGGGAAGTCTTTTCCTTCGACATTGACTATCCCCACGGGGTATGATTAATCCTTTTGCATCGGGCATAAAAAAATAAGGAAAACAAAAAGAATAGTAACAGTTCAATGGCATGCTGGAAATACGTTCTTTAAAATCGCACTCATAAAATAAATAAATAAACGTTGAAGGGTGATAAAACGCATGCAATGAAGTAAAAAAAAATAAATCACTTGAAAATCGCGAACGCAACCGATTGAGTAGTATTTCCAAAAAAGTGTGACGCCCTGCGTATTTGCCTTTGATAATTCTTTTTTCCTTTTTTTAGATGTATCTCTATGGAAGCTGCAGGCAGTCGATAGATGTGCGGCCTTCTTCACACTCTTCCAGTAGTGGTAGTCATCGTCTTGGAAAATCCTTTCGCATGCAGTCTTGGCTTACTGTTTTGCAACGCAGGCAAAAGAGTCTCTAAGGAAAAATGAGTCGGATGATACCAATCCACATCAACGTGAGGTAATCCAAGGGATTCCTTCTCTGTGGGAAGGCGTTGTTTTTCCAATAAACTTGGAATCGTATCCTCTAGACGACCTTCCACCTCAGTAGCGCAGTGTGTCTGGGCATTGACGATCAGATGCAGCAGCCTTCCCCAGTTCAGCGTTGTATATAATCCAGTGATGCATCGCAGAGCGTGAAAAAGTCGAACGGCGCAGTTGAGCTCAAGTAGCAGCTCACGAGAGGGGTAGTGTTTAGCGCGTAATCAAAGCTTTTCCAGAGGCGCTTGCCGGGCCTGCATCACATTCCGGGAGCCGTGTAAAAAAAAGAAACAGCGCCTCACAATAGTCGACACATGGAATGATGCAGTCCATCCTCAGAAAAGCGGTTGGATGTGGGGTTGCAGTAGGAGAAAGAGCAGCGTGTTGCTTGGCTTTAATTTCACTGAGTTGTACAAGCCTGTTACACTCTGACTTTTGGAGATATATAGTAACGAATCTTTGACTTGCAGGGCGTGCTGAGCACACGAGAGAAACTCGCATCCTACGCATAGCCTAAAAAGTCTTCATCTTCATCATGAGTTTAGCTACGCAATGCGAAAAACAGGGAAAAGATAAAATCTTGAATAGTTGAAAATAATTTGTGATCCCTGATACATTTCTTTAGCATTGTTGAATTTATTAAGTTTTGTTGTCTAAAATTCTCAGGGAATACTTGAAGGAATGTAGAAATAATAATAATAACTATACATTTTTGAAGCCGATGTTCCCTTCAAAATATTCATACGGAAGAACGCAAATGAGATCTAATCCTTATGACTACCCACTATTCAGTGAAAAGCATAGGAGAGTTGTGTTAACCAAACGTGTGCAAATATATATGTCTATATACAGGATATATATTGCAACTAAATAGGTATAATAGGCCTATACAATGTAAGCAGATCTTTAAATGCAAAGACAATTACGCAACCAGAAAACAGGTAAAATCAACACAAGCCTAACGCATTCAGATTATTTCACCGCACGTAACAACAACATGCGATTCCCTGACAACCCCAATTTTTTTAGTGTTTCTTCCCGCTTATGATACAGACGGAACGGGAACGCTTGACAGAACTCAAAGGCCGCGTAAGTGCGCATGATCTCTGGTGCGGCTGCTAACAGCTCCCTATGAAGCTGCTCGATGGTATCGTCAGGAGACATGCGCATAACCACCTTCCCTCCACTAGGAAGTCGAATCAAAAGCGAGATGAGATCTCCCATGGCTGCCACATCGTTATCCGGGGTTTCAGCCTTGCTCCCCTGGGTCTTTACTCCTGCGGAGGTGGTATGGTGCGCGCGTTCCGCGACCGTGGCGTGGCGAATTGTATCACTCACATGGTTCTCAGCCTTTGGGCCTTGGGGGCCCCAACCACCTTCCTGAAGAAGCGAGGCAATAGTGCCCCGAACACGAACAACATGGCCGTTCGCCGTCACCTTCGTCGCGGGCAGCTCCTGAAGAAACCTTTCCTTATCAAGCGGATTCTGCATTTCCTGCAGCGAGTGCACGTTGCGCGGGAAGGGGTTCGAGACGGCGTTTCCCGCCGCGACGGGTTTCGGTTTGTCCGCCGGAGGATGCCAATCCTCGGAGCTTTTATCGATGACCTCGATAGGAAAGCCACCGGGATACCTATCCTTGAACTCGTATGGATAGTAGCCCTCCATAAGATCCTGCACAAAGGCCTTACACAACGACCACGTGAACGGGCGAAAAGCCCCGTTATTGACGCTGATCCCGTTTTTATAGACCACCACGCTCACGATTTCGCGGTTGGCGATGCGCCCCTGACCGTCCGCGACGACGACCGCCTTCCACCCCACGTGATCCGACAGCACGCGGGCATTTCGGATCATCAGCGGGACGTCCAGCAGGGGTTCGAGGCCCACGGAGGGTCGCCGTCGCGCTCGCGCCGCGTCGCCCTCCCTCCCCTCCATTCCCCCCCTCGGCGAGGGGTTGAAGAGCATCACGCGTTCGGCCCCCGGTGGAGAGGAGGGGAGGTCGCGAGGGTCGACGACACCGCGTTCAGCGGTGATGCGGATGTGATCGGAGCAGGGGGAGGCCTCACGCGGGCTCACCCCCCTCTCCTCCTCATGGACGTCGACGGGGGACGTTGAGGTGTTCCACGGGGCGGGAGGGGCGTCCTTCGCGGGGTCGCCACACGCGTCCTCACGGGCGTTCGCACGTTGCCTGTGGATGAGCTCTTCGAGGTGCTTTTTTTCGTCGTAGAGCTCGACCAGGAGCCCTTCAGCCTCCGCACACTTCTGGGATTCCTTCTGAAAAGAAACCTGAAGCTCGTGATATTTTTTATGCATCTCTTTGAGCTCGTTTTGATATATCTTATGAGTCTTCTCCAACTCTTTCAACCTCATGGCCATTGATGTGATGAGGTCTCCAGACCCAGACTTAACACGCGCTCTTAAGTAAGAGGTGGGAGCCTCGTCAGAGTCGTTCGTCTTGGGATGCTCGCCTTTTTGAGCTTTCAGGGGCGTCAGAGAGGGCTTCGATGCGCTAGAAGGGCTATGTGCGGAACTCATTCTTATAATGTTGGGCAGATTCAAACGCGACGACGGCGTTTGCAAGGGAGGCATAGCTTCTCTAACAAGAAGTTGCCGAGTCTCGCTGTCCAACACATCCATGTTTAACAAATTGTCCATTCGGTTCTTGACCCGACGAAGTAGTTGAGCATGCCTACTTTTAGACTCATGCTTATCCATAGTGTAGAGCAGGCAAACCAAGACAAAACGAAAGAAACCTTGGTAACAGCCTCTACAAAGAAAATAAAAAAGTGTAGAAGGCAAGCCTGCTACTCTACTAAACTTCACAATTATGTACAGTTTTCGCTTAGACTAGAAATGATAATTGCTATCCGCGGGATAAGGGCGTAGATTGGTCAGCAAATGAGAAAGTACGGTTGAGTTTGAAAAGCGTACGCAGACATTTATACTTCATCCTATTCTGGATTATTTATCCAATTTTATCGCTTCTGACACGATCTCGTTTGTTTTCACGAAATGTATCGCTCCGCCTCCCCTACACCCCGCTATGATGTTCTCCCTTCCCATTCGCTTGTTCTGCCGCCTACTTCAGCTTCACACACGGAATGGGGTTCACTACCAGTTTATCTAGCTCGCGTTCCCATTCACACACTAACGTTGTCTCCAGCTCCACTTCGTAGCGGCATAACTGCCGAGCTTCATTGATAGACCAAAACATAATATCATCAATTTTAGATCGTTGCATACGAGAACTGCGGCGCTTAGCATGGTAATCGTTCGGACAACGTAGCCGAATTACTGTTTTCCAGAAGGGATCATCTGCGCCAATAGTGGCGCTGGGGAAGCGGTTTGAAGATGAGGATTCACGACCTTCGTGATGGAACACCTTACCGGTTTGACGAGCCTTAGCGTCCGTACCACGATCTTCAATATGTTTGGAAACATGCAAGTCACATGGTTGCTTGGAAGGGTACACCATCTCCCACGCTTTCTGCGCCTGATTCCAGCGTGGGTAACTCATCATGGCGTGGTAGCGACCGACTTCCTCGAAGGCTATGGCGATGCGTGGATCGCTACGCAGTATTTGGCGATGAAGCGCGGAGGAGTGCATTTGACTTAATAAATCTAAGATATTCGGCGTTTTGGCCTTACCTCCTTGCGCGGCATGAGCTTTGGAGGCACCCTGGATTTCCTCCACAGCGTCGGGATCTCGCGGTGGCATTGTCGGGGCCATGACCCTCAGCAAAGCGCCCTTCTTGACGCGATACACCCCTTCAAGGGGGCAGACTTCGTAGTAGCGGGGCGTCCCCGTTACCGCACCTTCCCCATCTCCGTAGAGACACAGCGATGGACGTTGATGCGCCAACTGCGTCCACCAGCTGAGAATATCGCGCTCCATTTCAGGCGCCCTCAGCGCCAGGTAGGAGGACACTGCAGACGCTATCGCATTGGGATCCCGAGGCAGCGGAAGTCGGCAGTGCAACAAGATTGAGCCCCTGTAGTCGTTCTTCATAGCAGAAGGGCAAGAGGCACCAGCGCATTTGTGTGGAGCGGGTTTTTCCAGCACCACCCACTCGGACGAAAGAAGGGTTGCGAACGGGTAAGGGGCCTGACGTGAAAACAGAGTAGCCGAGGACGCGATTTTGTCAAGCGGGAAAAAAGTCTCTTGATATGTGTTCCCATCATTGCCGTCCTGGATGATATCATAACCGCTCACGGGTATTCGAAACGCGGTTCCCGCTGGAGCGTTATAAAAGGCATCACGGAGAGACTCGTCCTGATCGATAGAAGTTAATACGACCAAAGTGTATGTGTTGTTCCCAGACCATGCATCGGCGACAAAAACGGCGAAAATCGCCAGTACTATGCATACGCAATGAATGCCAATCCGACGCATAAAGCTTATTTAGCACAAATCGGAACCTAAAAATGAGGCAATCAATGCACAGGATGGGTCGGTTCGGCTTGACACCCCCAATAACAGCTAATGATAAAAATCGTGAATTCACTTTTCCCTTCCGCTCTCTTCGATGTTACTTTCATATAGCAAAACTTCACCTATTTGCCACGTAAAACACGACTACACAAATCAAAGAAGAAACGAACCCGTGAAGCATGCTATAAAGAACGATATCAGTAAGGCATAGACGAATTTTTAGGACCCTAATTTTTTCCCTCACGATGGGGCGCATCTATAACGATGCTCCGCTATATTTTAATCATCAGAGGAACGAGATGGGAAGTTATTTGTAGGATCAAACCTTTTCGAGCCCGCGGATACCCGACGCCGTTCACGCGGAAGAAGGGACAAATGCCTCGCCCTCATAGCTTGAAGCAAATCGCCTGCAAGCCGCGTTCCGATGTATTGTCCAACAGCTCTGCGGTGCGCAGGCACTCCGTCATTTCTCGATGGAAAGCCTCTCGCTTTTCCACCTCCCACTGACGCAGCTCATGGCGGAGAGAGGTGTCATACAGTAACACCTCGCGCAGAAGCTTCGCCACCGCCTCCACCTGCCTCGAGAGTCGGAGAACCCCCGCGTACTTTTTCCCGTTCTCGTGATTTTCTCTCCACTCCCGGATCCCAACCCCAACGATCGAGAGACTCTGCGCAGAGAGGGGCATGTCGTGCACTGCCCCACCTGCGAGAGCGGCGTTGGCACCCACGGGCCGGCGCCGCGCCCCTTTCCCCTTCCCCCCCTCCTTTCGCGCGCGAATTCCTTCCAGCCGCCCGGCGAGAATCGCCGCCACGCCTTGACAGGCCACCTCCATCGCGGCGTCCACGATGAGGCCCTCGCTTTTGCCGGACGACGGATCGGGGCCGTGCCGCACGGCCTCTCGCCACCGCTCCACCACCGGCTGGAGCGCGATGAGGGCCACCCAGAGCCTCGCCCAGTCCTCAAGCGGCAAATCCGGCGCCCCTTCCAGCGCTTTGGGGACGAGGAGCGACTCCACCACGAAGAGGGCCGCTGTGGCGAGGCGTTTCTTCTCCAGGGAAGGGCTCTCCAGGCCTGCGGGGCCGCGCCCCGCCGACAGGGGGCCGACCACAATTTGCAGCAGCGCGATCAAGTCGTGTGGCGACAGCGCGTCGGCGAGGTCGGCGATGGAGCGCTGATGGACCTCGTCGAGATGAGCCCCCCGGAGCGCCGCGGCCATCTGGCGCTGTCGCAGCCGCGCCTGCTGCGTGATGGTGCCCGACAGAAAGGATTCCGCCTTGGCATGACCGTGGCGCTCGTAGAGCTTCAGCCGATGCTTCCGCGTCGCGAAGGCGAGTAGGCTATTTTGCCTGGACTTTTCCACAAGAACCCGGAGGGTGTTCGTCCGAAGCTGTGGGAACACAAAGCTGATGAGTAGGTTAAGCAACTTTATCGTGGTTGGGTCGCGCAAGGGAAGGAGGTGAAGTGCATCCATCTCTATCATCATGCGCGCAGCTTGTTCAGGTGTTTGTGCGGATACGGTGTTCTCTTCCCGAAGCATCAACACAACTTCCTCACGGAAATCACGACTCGCGGTTAACATTGCGTTCTCTAAGTTCCTTAGCGTAAAGTGCATGGTTTGAAACCCTACCGATTCGTTCCCACGAATCGTGAGTAGCACCGCTGTCGCAGTATGCTGAAGCATAGAAAGTAAGCTCAACATATCATGTGCTCTACCAGCACGAATGATTGCACGAGTAGGCAAATACGGAAGAGTATAGGAGAATATGCCGAGGGTCTCGATGGTCAAGGGTAGCACTTTAGTTGAGCGCGGTGGTATCCAGCGGAGTCCGATTACGGAATGTCGGCGCTTGGATGCTGAACGGGTGAGCCCACACCCGCGCGAAGTGCTTGTCTCCTTCAGAGTGCTATCTTGCCTATTCAAAGCATTCCTTGTTTCGACTGAGTCGCTCGCTTGCCTTATCATGTCCAGGAGTAGGTCCTCTTCTTCTTCGTCCTCCCTCCCATCAAGTGCCGCAGCCTTTTCTTCCTTCACGTGTTTGGAGCTACCTACGCTTGGGACCTCTGAGGAAGATAGTGGTTTCGCTGCCTCTGATTCTTCTCCTTCTGCTCCCTTTAGTTCAGGCTGCTGCTTCTTACGCAACCACGCGATCGAAGGTGGCGAGACAGCGAAGCGAGGGGAGAATTTATTTACCTCTTTGCCCTCAAGATAGTCGCGGAAGGCGGCCAAGACAATTCTGGATAGCAGAATAGACATGGAAAGTAACGGTGACACACCAGAGGCAGCCACGGAATGTGTAGCACCGTGGTGCTCCTGGTGAAGCATTCCTCCATGAATTAGCCTTTGCTCTTGGGCTATAGCACCCCTCCATATATCCTCATCCAGGAGTAGTTTCCACATACGTGCCGACAGAAACGAACGCGCTATTAAGGACTGATTTAGTAGCTCAAGTTCAGCGTAGGCGTCGTGGAGGTCGCTACGGAGAGATTCACCAATGGCTTCATCATTCACCGTTAAAGAATGTAACTTGTTGCCATCCCTTTTCACTGCACCTTTTGGCTTACTTGGAATGAACTTAACGTGCTTTTTTTCATGCGTTAAGTCATCCTCCAGACGATGAATGCGCCGAGTGAGTCTGCTGCGTTTTTCATGAAGAAGTTGGCGCCTCTCAGAGTCTACTGCGTGGAGAAGCCGAAGGATTTTCGACGCGCACTTTGCTTGCGGCACGGCAGCTAACATGGGGCGCGGCGTAACCAAACCAAGCTGCTGCTCGTCATAGGACTGTAAGACATCCGTTGTCGGATGCATAGGAATGGACGTCCCATCAGTGTGAGTTAGAGTTGAACTCCCATACGAATGTTGTAGTGTGGGTTTATCGGCCAAGCTATCAAGGGGGGGGGACTGACTATTGTCGGTTTCCAGCACACTTGTAGTCATAGGCGAATCTTCGGGAAGGGAGTCCTGCAGAAAAGATTCTGGTGATACGCTTGAAACCAGTTCCAACTGCTTCACATCGTTGTAAATCGCTAGAGCGTGGAGCTCGTTACTTTCAGTTCCTACTTTTGTTTGAACACGTTTCCGAACTTTTCGAAGGACCCACATGTTGCGCTCTAGAAGTGATAGCAATATTGGAATGCGTCTAAACAGAAGTTTGTCTCTCAAAAATTCCAAGTGAGCTGTAGCATTATGGGATGAAATTAAGGATTCCTCAGTTTCAAAGTGCTTACGTGAACTTGACAACACAATGGCGGATTTCCTCCATATGGCATTCGATTTTTGCGGTAGGTTATCAGCATCTTGGATGGACCTTATCCTCCGTACAGTTTTTTGCAGCTGCTGAGTAGTGTATTGAAGATTCGCAATGTATTTTAACGCTTGCATTCGGGCCTGTTTTTAAAGAGATAATTTTTGAATACGCATAAGCCTAGTGCTTGTAGTAATAGCAAATAGATCAAGTGAAGAAAAGTTCTTAACATAATTTTTGCTTACAGCTTAGTGCATAGATTTACGGATCGTTTCGAAAGCACAATACACTCATATATATTTTCCCTGATGCCTCCAAAAAATTGGTATTGTGAACAAATAATAAAAATAATAAAAATCAGAAACTCTCCCAAAAGACTAAAAATAGGTGTGTTTTCGAAGGCTTTCGATAATGTGCGTATGGAGGGAAGGCGAGTTGAGAAAAAGAAGCTCAATTTTCCCTTGTGCTTACATACATCAATTTACGATTTACTTTATCTTGAAAATTACCAGATAGTTGATTCTCATTCTGAACAGTTATCAGTGTAACGAAACAATAAAGAGTAAACGGTGAAAAATGAAGCGACCTACCCCCCTTCGAAAACACAAGCACATGGCAAAAGAGTGAGCTCTTTCTTCATGGTAAGTGCCGCCGGGAATCCACAGACAAAGAACTCCATCACAACCTTGAATATGCTCATTTGGTTGCCCAGCATTTTTCATATACTCACGATTTTCTTATGAGTTATATTGCTGGCCACAGGATTAGATGCAGTCAAATTTGCTGCTCAATCGAGACGGTGATACCAAGGATTACCAGTACTATTTTTCTCCATCGAATCATTTCAGGTTACAATGGAAAACAAAAACATTTTATACATATAGTTATATATAGCATAAGGCTAAGATATTATAGCCCACAACTTTAGAAGTCATAATGTATTAACTACAGTAGCAGTTCTTTTGTGTGTGATTTTTGTTCTGAACCCTCCAAATCACATGTTTCAATGAGCTTTAAACTAATACATACTAATTTTAAGAGTTAATTAATTAATTTTCATCTATTGTATTCAAGTTATTTCGTGTTTCAATACTTTGGCACTAGATAACCGCAACATATATATATATATATATATATATATATATTATT